TTTTTTCCTTTTAGATTTTTATTTATTTATTTATTTGACAGACAGAGATCACAGGTAGGCAGAGAGACAGGCAGAGAGAGAGAGGAGGAAGCAGGCTCTCCGCAGAGAGGGAGCCCGATGCGGGGCTCAATCCCAGGACCTTGGGATCATGACCTGAGCCGAAGGCAGAGGCCTAACCCACTGAGCCACCCAGGCACCCCAAATTCATTTGAACCTAAATAAAGAATGCATAAAGGACATAATGGCCTTTTCCGGTGATAAAACTTCTTCATTGGATGCCCTGGGATGGAGGAGAAGGAGGCTGTAACTTCAGTGGCAAGTACCATCACAAGATCAGTGTGGGAGAGAGTGTTTCAAGGCAGTGAAAGCTCATATCCAGAAAAAAAAAATCTCAGCCTACAGAGAGCTATTTGTTTTGACAGTTCCTAAGCATAAACAAGAGAGGGCAAGAGGCAGAATGAAAGAAACCTCAAAAGAGGGAAATAAACAAAATTCTGAATGTTGAAACTGTGGAGTCCCCAATACCAGCATCATAGTAAAAAATAAACCAAGGCTGTGGTTCCTAAGGACCCTTCCAGGGTGTTTTTCTAAGTTTTCATAGCAAAGGGGGTTTCCCCACACTTATGAAAACTAGTGAAAGGGGAGTCCTCCAGACCCAAAAGGCTACATACTGTATACTTCCATTTATATGAAATGCAGAGAAAAAGTAAAATCACATAGGGGAAAAAAAAAAAAGCAAATCTGGGGCACCTGGGTGGTTCAGTGGGTTAAAGCCTCTGCCTTCGGCTCAGGTCATGATCTCAGGGTCCTGGGATCGAGCCCCGCATCGGGCTCTCTGCTCAGTGGAGAGCCTGCTTCCACCTCTCTCTCTCTCTCTCTTTGCCTGACTCTCTGCCTACATGTGATCTCTGTCTGTCAAATAAATAAATAAAATCTTTAAAAAAAAAAAAGAAAAAAAAAAGCAAATCTGTGGTTGCCAGAGACTGGGGGGAGGGAGAATGCATATTAAGTGCTTAAGGAGTACTGGGCTTGTTTTGGGGTGATGGAAATACTTTGGAAGTAGACAGAGGTGGTGATTATACAATACTGTAAGTGTACCATACACCACTAATGATGGTATATTTTAAGATGGTTACTTTAAGATGGTTAATTTAATACTATGCGAATTTTACCTCAATTAAAAAATACAGGAAAGAAAGGAGTTCTGAGGGAAAAGAGAGATGTGTGTCTAAATGGAGGTGGGGGAAGATTAGAAACCCACGGTTGTGGGGACTCCATTTTCCCTGTGGAACTCCACCTAGCTCAAGGCTCAGCTGAGTTCCACTGTGTGATGGTGACAAGGACAAAGATGAACTGGCTGAGGGAGGGCAAGGGGTAGAAAGGGTACGGGGACAAAGACTGGCCAGAAGCATTTTGGAAAAGGAGCAAATGCAGAGCTGCTGAGAAAGTGCAAGTTAGGGTTCATAGCACACCAATCCATTTAGACATAAAGGGCAGAGAGATGCTGAATTAGAAAGACAGAGAGAGGGATAGAAAGGCATCCAGCAGAGAGGACATGAGAATATTCCTGAGAAAGGGCCCCAATGCCTCAAAAACATTCTCTCATACAAAGGAGGAGTGGACTAACTTAGGGGGCAACATACTATCTCTATATGTCCTATAAAAGTAAAGTCAAAGGCATTAGGGAATGAAAAAAAATGAATGAATAAGGGAGGAAGAGAGAGATAAGGAAGAAATTAATTTAGATAGGTATTAGAGTAGAAATTTACTTCTTGCTATTTCCTAAGAAATTTGGCTTTCGGGCTTTATAGAGGTTTCTGGTCCACTTAGGGCAGAATCATTGTCCTGTTTCGTGTCTTTTGTTTTTTAGCCTTAGGACCACAGTCTCTCAGTAACAGCCAATTAATTAGCATATTCATGAGTAGGGATCCATTTATAGCTTGTCTTATCATGTGTTTGCAAAAGTAAATAGCAGGAGACTACCACCCAATCATAAATGTTCACTAAACACCTCCATGTACTAGGCCTGGGCTACAGACCAATGGGGTGCAGACCTTGCCTTCTAGGGGTCCTGGGGAGCACAGGAGAGTTACTCTTCTCTACAGCTGGGCATCTGGAAGGCTTCCTCTCTACCGGGTTGGATAGAGAAAGCCTGCATTTAGGGAAGACAGGCCTTTAGTCAAACACCAGTGTTCTACTCCTTGCTAGACTTGGACCTATTTTGGACCTATTTATCTACCTGTAAAATGGGGATGACATCTACTCAAAAGATTGTCGCGAAGAACAAACAAGATCCTAAATGTAAGGCACCTAAGCAGGATGCTGCTGTAGAAGGTGCTTGATACAGAGTGGCTGTTTTTAATTAAATGTGAACATGTGGGGTGTAAGGGGGGGCATTCTGGCCAGTGACAATGGCAGGGGGATAGATGTCACAGAGAGCATAGCTCCTTGGAGGAGGAACTGGTAGGGCTGGGTGGAGTATAGGGAATCTAACAGGTTATGTAACAGAGGGGGCTGGGTAGAGGCTCTGGACCCATCCTGCAAGGGGAAGGGCACCTCATTCTATGCTAAGGAAAGGGGCTTGGGCCTGTGGGCGGCCGGGCATCACAGGGATCTCCCACCCAATCCCCCCTGCCACAGTCACTATCAGCGATTCTTGAACCCTTTCATCCTCCAGATCCTTATAAAATTTACAAATATCATCTCTTGGATGCTGGCCCTCTTTGAGGAAGGCGAGTCATCTCACACTGTCTGGACAAAGGAAAGTAAACTGGTTAATGAACTTAAGAATTTCTCAACAGCCATTTGCTGAGTGGACACTGGTTCTGGACTTCTGGGGATAGATGGAAGTTTATAATCTTGGCTGGGGAGATGAGATATCCACATGGTGATGGTACAGCAAATGCCAAAATGAATGGGGCCAAAGAAGTCCCAAGAGCTTCTGGAAAGCTCAAACTGGTGGGCAGTGCGAGCCTGGAGGGTCTTCCCATGCCTGGGGTCTTACAATTCCTCCATAACAGCTGGTTATGACAGACACTCTTTAGAGCTGCCTGTGAACGGTGAGAAGAAGAAGCAGACCTATTTTTAGTTGATTTTATTAGTGATTTAAACTCTCTGAGAACAAGGCCCCACTTACTTCCTGGATGCAGGGCCCCTTTCTCCATTTGGAATTTTGGTATACTGTCTCCAAGCCTTAGTTTCAGGATGCCAACGAGGAATAAACACCCGCCTTCACAGTGGTGAAGAGGTGAAATCAGATAATTCGAGGTACAAATGCCTCCCAGCCCAGGGTTTGACACAGAAGAGGACACTTAGCACTGGCTCTTTCTCTTTTCTCATCCTCCTTTCTTTATTCCCTTCCAAAGTGGTTCCAGAATCCAGTGTAGATAAATTAGCCAACGTTTGTTCAGTTATCTGTATATACCAGCTTGCCCATCTTAGCATACACCTTCTCTGTTCACAAGGATGAAAGCAGAGCACAAACAGCAGCTTTAACTTCACTTCCTAACCTGCACCAAGAATCTTCTGTGGGGGCGGGGGCACTGCGAGGAAGGGGGACTACAGGGGATCAGCACTGATATAAACTTATTCCCGACCCCACCATCTAAATCTCAAACAATTTGTATTCTCAAGAGCTTGGCCCAAAATAATTGCACAAAGTCACATAACACAGCAGCCATAACACCATATAGTTTTCAGTTCTCCATGTTTCCCCAAGCACCCCAGGAGACAATGCAAATGTTATCCGCAGCAGCAGCTCAGGGAGCTGCTGCGAAACTGGGCCCCTATCTAGAGATGGGACTTTCCCCCAAAACACCGCTGACAAACTCACCCTGAGAAAAGATGGAGAGCAGAGAAAACACTATCTTTGTCACCTCTTCTTCATGCATCTACACTAGTTCCAGTGTGAAAACAATGTAAAGGACACACTCTGTCCCTGATAAGAAAACTAGCTAGAATCTGTTTCTACTGGGGGGGGGGGTAGTGCTAGAAGCTTACAAAGCACTATCGCTATAAAGAAACTGAAACATTTTCCCCCTCAGTGTCTAACTAGTGTCTTTACCAGTTAAAACCAAGTTTTCTGTCCTGCTTTTCCGGGGGAAAATTTGGAAAATATATTTATTTGCTCAAGTAGCCCGATACTTAAAAATACACTCTAGGTTGGAACTGTATTCTAGGTGAGCAACCTCTTCCCTGCACCATGCCAGAAACGGAAATACTGAAAGCCCAGAGTGTCTAAGGGAGCCGGGTTCTGGGGAAGAAGGAATCTCTTTCCTCAACTCAACTTGGAAGACCTGGTTCTAGGTAACCAAACCTCGGGGCCACCATCACAATCACCGCCACCGCCGCCTGTGGCAGACCCTGTTATCACCCCATATTCTGCGCCATGAGCACGTCCCATACACAAGACTCGTCTTAGAGGCTGCCGGTACTGATTTTCTACTAAATGCCCACGGTACTGAGCTTTTCTCCACACCCCTATAAAATGTGCAAGAAAAACAATTTTCCAACAAAACAAAACTTCAACGGGAGCCCTGTTCCACTTTACACTGAAAGGGCCAGAACGCTGACTGGTGGAACAACGTGAGACCCGTTCTTTTTGGGGTGGTCCTGGGAGAAACAGATCACACAGTGCAACAGATGCAATGGGGGACCAGGAGCCTCAGGCTTCCGCAGAAAAATCTGACCTCTTCCTCCTCCTCCCTATCCAACACCACGTCTCAGGAAGGCTGCACCTTTCGAAACCAAGTCCAAAAGAACAGGGGTCATAATCCCCGCCTGGATTTGACTGGGGGAGGCTCTGGAAATCAGCTCAAATACCTGCTTGGCTTCTGGAGGAACCTGAGGCGGAGGGCGCGGCCAGGGGGATCCCCACCCCCAGTCGAGAAGGCTCAGCCTGGACCCATTTAGTCCCCCCATCCCGCCGCCCCCCCATCCCGCGGGGGCCTCGGCTGCGGAGCCGACAGCGGGCCGGGAGGGAATACCGGGGCAGCTCTCACCGGGCTTGCGGCCTCGAGTGCGGACCGACAGCAGGGGGCCGCACAGACTGAGTCCGGCGGCCACGAGCAGCAGTCGCCGCGGCCCCATTGTCCGGAGGTTCGGCGCGGCTCGGGTGGACTACTCAGCCTCTGAGCGGCTTGCGCTCCGTGCGCTCTCCCTCCGGCCGCGGGGTCTAGCCGTCGGCCGCGGCGCACTCCGTGCGGGCCGGCAGAGCGCTCGCTGCCCGGGGACAGAAGAAGGACGCTCGCGTCGCCCCGCGGACTGGCGTGTACCGTGGCGAGGCCCGCTGCTCTCTGAGTGCCAACCGAGGTGGGGGCGGAACCCCGGCGCGCGGGAGCTGAGCGGCGCTAGCTAGGAAGGGCGCCCCCCCGCGCCAAGTGTGCGCCTGGAATCTGCGGCTGCCCGCCGCGCGCTCCCCTCCCCCTCCCCGCGAGTCTCTCAGCCGCCGCTACGCAGTCCCGGACTCCGGCGACCGCGCCACCTGTGGTGCGCCGCGTGCCCCCCCCCCCCGCTCCGCCCCCCCTCGCCGCCGCCGGATCCCGCCAGCTGGCCACTGCCCGGCGGGGGAATCCAAACGAGACACTTTTTCCTCTGGGCGCCTTTGACCCACGAAGGTCTCAGTGACTCAGACCGGCGGGGACCTCGAGCAGGACCGCGCGGCCCTGGCGGCTGCTCCCTTCACTTCTCATTACTCTCCCGAGGAGCAGAGGCGTTCGCAGTGAACCTCCGAGCAGGGATGCGGCCCGGGGGCGCCGGCCCCCACGCCCCGCGCCAGACCTTACCGCAGGCGCGCCAAGCGCCTCAGGCAGGCCGAGCGCCGCTGCCCCTTCGGAGATTGGGGTATTTAGCTGAAAGTTTCCGAAGTGATTCGTGTTTTTTTTTTAAACTTTGGGACAGTGAATTAGAAAGTTTATCCTTTGGGGAGAAGGTGGCCCTCAATGAGAAGCAGCCTTTCTGTTTGGAAAGTTTCTTGCCATTTTAAAAATTCGTTTCTCATTATTTGGAGAAGTTAGCACTTACTGTTTCGCGGGTAGGCTCTGCCTGCGAGGGGAAGTAACCAAGCCGAGGCCCAGCGCCGCCGCTCCCCACTCCCGCCCTGCGCGACTGCAGCCCTTTGTCCTCCGCCCGCAGCCCGCGCGCCGGGGCACGTGCGCAGGCCTTTCCTGCAGCCTCGCGGCTGCGCGTAACTGCGCACGGGCGCTGCTCCGGCGCCTGATGCCCTAGGACAGCCCGGTGCCTCCGAACGGTCCCTCACAGTTTCTGGCACCGTAGGACGAAAGTTTGGTACTGTGCGGCCAAATTCGAGTCGCAGGGCGGTGGACACTGGGGGACGTCGCGGCTGGGGCTGCGGGGAGTAGCAGCACGGGGTTCCTTTGGCTCAGGGAGCTTATCTGCGGAGTCTGAGACCCCAGCGGGAAATGGGTCCCCTCCGCCGGCTTTTCCAGGAAAGTTCACCCGCAGCCCCTTCTCCTCTCGCTTGTGCAGGCCTGTTCTGCACCCTGTGGCTGATAAACTGTACTTGAGAGTCACTGGTCACGCTCAAGCTTTCTAAAAGTGGAATTTCGCTTTGAGAGTGTTACTCCCCAGGAAGAGCCCTGATACTTAAAACTAGGAGAAAATACATTAGAGACTCTTTCTGTAATGCCCCCATCGTCGTTGAAGCACAGGGCCTTGTGAGCAGCAGCTGTACAATAAATTACTGAATAATTCAGTTATATAATGTTACTTAAAAAATTTTCCTATCAGTTCTCCGACGAAACAGCCAAGAGGAGATGTGAACCACTAACATTATGTATTTTTCCTATCAGTTCTCCGACGAAACAGCCAAGAGGAGATGTGAACCACTAACATTATGTATTTCCTCACTCCCTAACTTACACTACTTTTCATTAATCCTAAGATGCCATCGATTTTAAGACTCAGTTTATGTACTACAAGCGCGCGCGCACACACACACAAATACTGCCAATTAAACTGCGCATACTGATGATTGTAAGAAACATCTCAATTTCAGTATTATTTAAAATACGAATAAAGGCCCCCTGAGAATCAATGAAATAGTGTAAGATGTAAAAGTAATCAATACATGTGGCAAAAAATTCTAACAGTTCAAGGATAGTCAATGAAAAGTTAAAGTACCTTCAGCCTCCACTTCTAAGAACCACTTATCCATGATGACTATAGTTTAAAGTTTCTGTCCCTCATTCAAGAATTTATATCCACATACAAGTACATATGTATGTATCTCCTTAACATATAAATGGGATAATACTATGAGGATGCTTTTAAGTTTTAACTATTTCAGTGGTGGAAGATGTTAACCATTTTACAAAACTGAAATTTAAAGGACACTTTTTTTTGCTTAGTTATTAGAACAGAATGCACAGACAGCTGCTGAAATGCATGTTTCATTCTCTGTGCACATTAGCTAGGTTAAAGCCTCCTTTAGAGTGGGGCTGAGATACAGAACAAGGGTGGAGAGTGGAAAAAATGAAGCATTCCTTCCTCTAGTGTTTTCTCTAAATTGGGGGATTGCTCATTGAGCAGCCACCAAAAACTTACCTTCAGAAACAGTGGTTTTAACTTTATCACACATGGTGCAGGTTCCTGAACCTCATCCCAGAACTATGAAATGAGATTCTGTATTTTTGACAAGCAGCCCCAGGTGATGGTGATATCAGTCAAAGTTTACAGAGATGTTATTCTAAGACAGTGGTTCTCAAACTTTAGCATGGATCAGTCATCTGGAAGACTTGTTAAACTATAGTGCCAGACCTCATCTCCAGAGTTTCTGACCCTGTAAGTCTGGGGTGTGGTCTGAAAATTTGCATTTTTTAACAAGTTCCTCAGTGATGCAGAGGCTAAAGATGATGCGACAGGGGTGGGTAGGATGGACACACTTGGAAAGCTGCTTTGAGAGGTAAAAAGAACTGAACAGGATTTCATATAGTCTGTGTGACCGTCTTTATTTATTTATTTTAAAGATTTTATTTATTTACTTGACAGACAGAGATCACAAGTAGGCAGAGAGAGAGGAGGAAGCAGGCTCCCGGCTGAGCAGAGAGACCGATGTGGGGCTCGATCCTAGGACTCTGGAATCATGACCTGAGCCGAAGGCAGAGGCTTTAACCCACTGAGCCACCCAGGTGCCCGTGTGACCTTCTTTCAATTACACAACATTTCAAGCATATAGAAAAATACAGAGCCTAATATCACACCCATGAGCCTACAATCTGGCATTAGCAAATATATGTAAATATATATTTATCTTTTCTTGGTTAAGCTTTTTGATATCCTTTTCTGATTTCATTTTTCCTGCCCAGAATAGTAACTTTCTTATTCATGTTTTTGTACTTTTATATTTATTTAAAAAAAATTAGTATTGCTTTGTATGTTCTAAATATCTACAGAGTAACATACTCTAGGAATACTTCTGTAGTTTTCATTTTTCTAGATTTACCTGATTGGTATACATATATGTAATTGTTTTTAAACTCTTTATGGCATACTTTTGTATGTATATACAGCATTTTATTCTTCTAATGCAATTTTTTTAGAGCACTTTGTTTTTAAGATTTTATTTATTTGACAGAGATCACAGGTAGGCAGAAAGACAGGCAGAGAGAGAGGAGGAAGCAGGCTCCCCACCGAGCAGAGAGCCCAATGCGGGGCTCAATCCCAGGACCCTGGGATCATGACCTGAGCCAAAGGCAGAGGCTTTAATCCACTGAGCCACCCAGGCACCCCCTTCTAATGCAATTTTATCTGAAGTTTTGTCCAATTTATTTCACCCAACATAGTGTATTTTTTGCTTTTTTTTCCTTTTTAAAATATTTTTATTTTTATTTATTTTTAAAGATTTTATTAGAGAGAGAGAGAGAGAGAGAGGGAGAAAGAGGAAGCATGAGGTGGGAGAAGGGGCAAAGGCAGAAGTAGGGTCTCTTCTAAGCAGGGAGCCCAACCTAGGGCTCTATCCCAGGACCCCAGGATCATGACTTGAGCCGAAGGCAGATGCCCAACTGACTGAGTCATCCAGGTGCCCCCAAAGATTTTTTTTTTTAGAAAGTAATCTCTACACCCAGTGTGGTGTTTGAAGCCTCCAAAGATGACAATATATTCCAAGAACTTCCTTAGTAATCTCCTCTTGGAAGCTAATGGTACAAGTCTCAGCTCAAGGGGAGGGGGAGAGGAAAGGGGAGAGAATTTGCCTTCTTGGGCCCTTTTGTATTTGAGTTCCAAACAGATGAGATGATGCCTGCCTACAGAGGTGAAGGGATCTTTACTCAGTCCACACATTCAAGCGTTAATCTCTTCTGGAAACACTCTCATGGACACATCCAGAAATCACATTTTATCAAGGAGGCATCTGTAAGAGCTATTTTATTTGGAGACTGAATGGAGATTGCCTCCCCTATGAGAACGAGATAATCACTCAGTGCTGCCCTCATACAAGGGTCAGGCTGAAGCAAGCCTTTGACTCCTGAGGGACAGGGGGTGGTGGGGTCTGACTCCTTCTTAACCCAACATGGATGCAGCCTTTTATCCCCCACCTCTGTGCCATTTACAAGGCACTGCCAGGCTCTGGACTTACAGCAGTAGCTGAAACACTCACTCTCTGTCCTTTGGAGCTTAGAGGATGACTTTCAGGGGCTCTATCTTACCCGTTAGCCAAATGCTGGTTTCAGTAACAGAGGCAACAGGTTTTCAAAAGCTGATCAGCTGTATAGGATCCAATGTTCCCCAGAATCTCTTAAAATACAATCAACTATCAACATTCAGAGTTCCGTGGTTCACCTCTTAGAATGTTTGAGGAGTACCACAAATCCTTGCCTAACCACAGCCAAAGTCTTAAAAATCACATCATGAACAGCACCTCTAATTAGGGCTCCACCACCCACACACACTAACACACATGTTACAATTCTGATCTTTCAGTGACTTGTCAGACAATGGTCATATTGCGTTGGTCTCTATTTCACCACAAACTTCCAGAATATTAAAATAGGCTCAAGTTTTCTCTCTTGGAGATTACTAGAATACATCCTTTGAGAGTAGCTAGAATGCAGCTTAAGCCCTTTTTCATGTCTCGGTGCTAAAAAGTGGAGTTCACGAGAACACGAACTCTCAATCTTCCAACCAAAGACCATTTTTGTAATATTG